CATACAAGCTATCCAACAAAACAATGAAAATACAATCTACTTTTGATAAATGGGCATTAGCATTCTTGGTATACTTTTCATTTATCAAGACACAATGCTTTCTGAAGAATTCGGTTTCATGTTATTAATACTAAATTTAGTTTGCTATATAATGATTTCTTAACATAAATTAAGTAGCTAATATATTAATTTTTGCCCTTTTACTCCTTTACTTCTATATATACCTGTTACAATAGCAGTGTATTAGATGTAGCTTTGTAATTTAAAGTATCTTCTTTGCCATGTTGCCATTGCCCAAACTGTGCTACAGTATTCTTCAGTAATAGAATTTGTTTTGATATTTAAACTAAGATTATAATTTTTTAAACTGTTCTGGTCCTATGTTTGTAAATTAATTTGCAAGGGGCATGGAAGGAGAAGTGATTGTGGTGTATTTTAAAACTGTGCTAAGTTTGATGTATATTTTATGACATAGATACTGGTGTGCTAGTCTTCAGGAAAAATGTAAGCAAATGGAAGTTATAGAGGTAGTTTTATTGGCTGAGCTGCATAGAAGCAGAGTAAAAGTCTTGCTACTTTTGGAGATGCTGCTTGTTTATTTTGACTGTTAATAATACCACCAGCTATTTCTCTGAATTTCTGTTCTTTATTGAATATTTCTGTGTCTGTGATGGTGAAACAGCTAGGAAGAGTTTATGCTGTGAAGACACATTCAGTGTGCTGTGGCAAATGTCTAACTTGTTTTTGTTCAGTGTTATATTACAACTTTTCTAATACCATTGCGGTCGTCTGTAATTGTTTGGGTATCTGGTGTGCATTATTTCTAGCCATTTTAATGAAATATTACAGTTATTAACTATGGCTACTGGTTTATAGTGGCTGTAATCCTTGAATGTTGTCTGTTATTGTAGTTTAGGACCACTTTGTTAGAGCATTAGGCACCTTCTGGTTTGCATCAAGGTGGCTGTCTAATGGATCATTAACTGCTAGTGAGGCCCGGGTCCTTGGGGACTCGCTGGGTACAGCACTTGTGGTATGAGAACAAAAGCTCATGGGGAAGAAATCTGAATTTAGTGCGCCCTGATGCCGTGTGAAATGAAATTACTCTGTCCTCATAATATCTTGGGGTTTGCTGAAACACTTTGTTGCTACAAGTGCAGTGTGTTTTACATGCTGGGAGTGGGCAGGTGTCGATGGAGTGGACGCTCCCGAGGCAAATGCCGCTGTTCTCTGCTCTGTTCAGGATGCTGATCTCGGTACTGCTTTTCTCGTAGGCATTTGTTGCCTTCTGAAGAAAATTGTTCTTATTCTCCTCACTAACTGCGAAGACAGCACAGTAACAGTTATAGGTGGGTTTTGTGTATTTTCTCCTGCCCCATTTTTCTGCTATGGATGCTTTTCCCCCTAGCTCTTCTTCAAATAATATGTGGAGAGCTAGTGATGTATGAAGAACGGCTGATGAAAGGGGAGTTCATACCTGTGTGGGTTTTTTGGTAATCTGTGCTTTTCTGAGGCCTCCTCTTCCTGGCCTTCCAATAGTACATTTAGCATCTAAACTTCCCTTTGTTGGAGATGGTTCCATGGTGAGATCAGTCCCAAGCCTTGCTTCTCAGCCTCAGTGTGATAGTCAGAGGCAACAAAGGGATTCCTCTTAAGGTTTCTAATTAAAAATATCCTCTTGGTCGATTAGAATTTCTACTTCACTTGGGCTATTCAGAGTTTGGTGAGAGGTGATGCCAGATTCCTGAGAAGTGTTCAGGTCTTAGGAGATAGCTAAATATTTGGTCTTCTTCCTCTGCAATCTTGTTGATGGAATTGTGTGTGTTTTGTGTGTTTCTGCCAGATAACAGATGCCTTTAGATACCTTTACCTGTATTTTAAAATTCAGCTCAGAGAGACTTCTGCTGTGTCTCTGACCTTACTGAAATTCTTTTGTGAGCCAATACATAGTAAATGTCACAGTTAAGGATAAGAGTGATTTTTACTACAAATTGCTGCCATGGTTTATCAAGTATGAAGTCAGCACTTTTTCTTAAGTTAGAATTTCATTTAGCTGTCTTAATTAAGAAAGAACAGCATGTACTGAAAGAGAGTGCTTCAGTCCCTCAAACTATGAGTGTAGACTGTAAAATAGTAATTACAGAGTTGAATCTTACTTGCGAAGGGATCTAAATATTAAAGCTTCAGTGCTCAAGCAACCAAGATTTATCAGGATTTGTCAAATAGTAAATGTCCAAACACCTTTCTCAAATGTAGAAGTACTCCTTTAAGCAATGTGTGTGATGAGAGATCAATCAGTATAGAAGGTTGGAGTTGCTCTTACCCATCTCAATTTTAAATAGATTAATCTATGTTCATGTTGGTTTTGACTGACATAAGAAAGCATATAAACAGTATATTTTCAGCAAACACTGTGACCCTGGTTCTCTTGGTTGGACATTAGCTTGTTGGTAATTTAAAATTGACACGTTAATCCTAAATAAAATAGGAGGACAATTCAAATCCAGTACATTTTGGGGGAAAATGAAAACAAAAAGAAGGAAACAGGAACTAAAATAATCCTCAGAAATGTCAGGGGTTTTTTTTTGAGGTTGGGAATTGGAGAAAAGGGGAGTTGCATTTGATTATCTGTTACTGCCTGCTTGCTTGTTCCTGAGCACATGGAGGTATGGTTCTGAACAAAAGACACAGTTCTCAATTGCACCCTGTTGATACACAATTTTAACTGTGTCAGAATTTAGTTAGCAGACTAACACACAGAGCTATGCTTTAAAAGCTCAGGATTTGTATATCTTTAGTTACCTGTTACAACTGAATTCTGAATATATTTTGTCACTATTAGATTTTCCTAATCTGTAAAAATTACTTTTCTGTAAAAATGTTATTTTTAATATGTATACTTGATAATTACAAAATTGATAAAAAAACCACATTGCTCCTTGACTTCAAAGAGTTCATTTGACCCTTTTGACTCAAGCCCTTGGCTGTAAGAAGCGCCAAATTAAGCTGTTGTTGTTTTGCTTCCCCCCTCCCTCCATTAGCAATCATTCTGTTGCACACAGTATGTGATAAATCAAGGGCAGGAGCTTTAGAGTTGCCATAACATGACATTACCTATCAGCTCGTCAAGTCTGTGTTGACTCTGCGCCTTTTAGGCTGTATATTTCTTCAAAGTCTAGTGCCAGTTACTTAGTCAGCTCTAACTAATTTCAGAGTGGAAGGGAAACTTTACTGGAGTGCTGTTTGGGATCTGCTTTTTAATCCTGGTCTGTTTAATGTTTGCCTCCTGACATTCTAGGCCAGACATCATTTTAATGGTATGTGTGGTGATAAAGCCAATAAACTGTCAAGATGATTGATAATCTAAGCATTATAGCAATATGACTTTCCTGTTCTCCTCTGTGCTTTAGATGATGGTTTCCAAATTGAATTCTTACAGTGTGCTGTATGCTTGTTGGAGAGACTCTGAACAAACAGTTGGAAGGAGCTAGCACTTACTAATGCAGGCTTTTAGATTTAAATTTCTGTTATTATTGGAAGGACTTTTAATTTGGGAAATGTTAAGTGGGGAGTCTAACATTGTAATAGTCTTGGTCTCTAAATTTTTGAAATTCTGCTATTTTTATGGCCACCTGGGATGAGTCTTAAAATTTCACATGGCAGATTTCTTTATCTGTACTGTCTTTCAACTAGAGATAACAAAGAGCAGTGCAGTGTGTGTGGGGCTTCTGTGTTCCCTTAAGCAAATTCAGCAGCCGTTTTTCATCATCTTAATGGAAAGTCATTGATCAGACTTGCTCACTTTTTATTTTGGGGAGCTTGGAGGCAATTGATTTGGATTATTTTTGCATGATGCCTAAAATTAATGGTTTTCATCTTGTACTTTCATGCTGGCCCCTGGACAGTGACAGGACCAGGACAAAAGAATGATAGATATTTGTGTTTTGGAGCTGCTATGCATGAGCCTTTTTTTGTTTGTTTGTTTAAGTTTGCCGGTACATTAGTTTCCTGTTTGTATCCATTTCTTTTTCCTTAAGTAGAAGTTAGCACTCATGCGCTGAAGAAATTTACACAGGTAATCCTCATTAACATGCATCAGTCGATAAATTTTGCATGCTTTTGTATCCCTTCTGGAGTGAGGTCAAAGCCAATTGATATTTTAAACTGTGTCAATTTTCTTTTGATCCCAATTCATTGTCTTGCCATCACAGACATACCCCAGATTCTGGGCATTTGGGTACAAATATTTCTTGAGTGATATTTAAACTTTGGGCAGTAATGCTGTTTTCTGCCCAGTTTTGCTATAAACATTTCCCCATTGAAATGTTATATATGTTATATATATATGTAAAAGTGGTGCTGTATTAGCAAAACACCTTTATTCAATAGGTTTTTCACTGCATGGTCAGCATGGATGATTTGGGCTTTGGATTAACCTGTTTTTGTTGGGAATAATCAAACTGAAAAATCGTATGTGAATTGATGTGCCCACACCAGTGATGCCCTCACTGCTCCCCATATGTGCTGAAAGATGTCTCCCTCAGTTCTTGGCTGCTGGGGATGGAGTCCTGTGATGCTGCCATTCCCATGGAACTGCTGGTGAACTGTTTCTCTGGGCTTTTAGCATGAGACTGTGGAAAGGCACGAGAAGATCGCAATAAAAGCTTTTGACCCATGTGGAAAGTCAGTGGGTTAACCAGTCTGGTGGAAGGCTTTTTGTGTCAATAGGAACTAGATGGTAGCTTGAGAACTTTGGTCATTCTACAGTTGATGCATATTTCAGAGCAGTCAGAGCTTAGAAAATAATTTGTCCCTGTTTATACCTCTAGGGTAGCTCTCCAAAAGGAGTATTTTGATTTTAGCTTTGACTTGTTCTTTCACCTTCTCTCCTCTTCCTACAGTCAACCCATCTTTCTTCCACTAACAGTTTGCCAGTTTAAGTTGTGCTTCTTTTATGTTGCCAGGATGATCTAGTGTGTGGCTGTGTTCACAAAATTGCACGAAAGCACTCCGTTGAATAACGGGGACAGACCAGAAACGACTTTGAGAGATATTCCAGAGAATGGATTGGTAAGGACTGGGGGTTTATTGCATCCTTTTGGGAGTTAGAGCAAGGAAACTTCTGGATTTAATCCAAACCTAGAAACAGACCTGATGTACAGTGAATCTTTTAGGTGGGCTTTGCCTAATCTTCAGGAGAAATTTGTCTGTGTTCTAGGGATCTTTCTAAGGTGTCTTGTTCTGCCCCTCTGCTTTTTGGAGTGCTTACTTTTTATTCTAGGAAGAACTGGAACAAAGTAGCGTTTGCTGGTACTGAAGCCCTTCATTTTTGGGGGAATGGCCAGGATTAAGCCAGAATAAATAGAAGGTTATATTAAGTTTCAGGCAGGTGGAGAATGGGTGTTGACAGCTATGATGGCCAGATTAGATTGATTGTGTACTCCTTGGAATTATGTTTCTTAGAATGTTTGAGTCAAATTCTAGTTGTGTCACTCTTCTCAAAAAAATGAAGCTGAACTAAGCATTTTTTTCTTTGCAACCTAAAGACTTCCCAGTGCAACATTGAACTTGTCCTCATCTACAAACATAAAAGGCTGAAACCTAATTTACTCCTGCAAAATAAGAGCTTGTGTTTTGCAAAAACAACTGGGGAACAGTGAACTGAGTGTAAACACTACTGCACTGTGCTATTACAATTTTATTTCATCAGCTTTTTAAAGACCTTTACAGTCATTTTAATTGGTACTTGGTGAAAACAAGAAAAAAGTTTCACAGTCAACTTCTTTACTCATATTTGCATGATTACCTATGTTGTTTTTTTCTTCTTTTGCTTCTTTGTTTTCCTTTCTTTTAATTGTTTTTTAACAGTAATTATTAAAAAACCAGAAGTTTAATAATGGCTTGTCTACTGAAGTAAGTGAAAACTGTTCCAGAACAAATTTGGTTGTGTTTGAACAGATTTCTCCCTAGATGTTCCTAGGGTAGATTGACCTTTTCTTTTTTTCATTTTATTCCCTCTCAGGGTGGAGGAGGCCAACTGTACAGTGGAGTGATACAAGCAAACTGTGAATTTGTCATGTAAGCAAAGAATCTTAGACATGCAGGGAAAGGATGCATCCATTTAATTGGTTTTCTCCACCTTCTCTGTCCAGTAGCATCTGAGATGGTGTACACAGCTTCATGGTGTCGATGTTTTGTCTTCTTTTAAGACTGACTTTTTCCCGGCATGTGACAGGTTGATAAGAAAAATAAAATGTAGTAAGATTGCTACTGTTCATCTGTTGCTTCTGTCATGTTTGTTAGAGTGATTGGGGGGCATTACCTTTTTATTGTTTAATAAACAACTACAGCTTTAAAATCTGTAGTTCTGTGGCCTCTAGTTCTTATATGTCTGCTATAATCAAATGATTACTAGGTTCACCTAAATGCATTTGTACTGTACCTGATTTTGTTATATGATGTGAACAAAGCAAGATACCTTAAGATCTTCGGCTGAGGTTTTTGTGTAACTGGACATTATTTTATGTGAAAAGGAAAAAAATGCAACATTTTTCTTTCTTCCTAGCCATACATCATATTCTTACTTGACTGTCTATAAAACAACGTAGGCAGCCACTTTGTAACTGTTCTAGAAGTAGCACATTAAGTGTTCAGCTGTGTAGGTAATGATGATTGTGCAGAATTGAGCACTGCTTGTGTATTCATAGGTAATAGCTCCCCATTGTTGGGTCGATTTGTGCTAGGTGTTTTTTCCCTTCAGAAGAAAGATGGTTTTGTGTAGATGCTATTTCATCCACTTTGCCCCAAGAAAGACATTAGTAATTTATAAATAAAATACATATAAAAATAGGAGAAATCGGATGGCAGATTTTTTTTTTTGCAACAAAGAAACTGCTAATTTCAATTTCACTGTGAGGTGAAGTTGAAATACTTTTACTTACTGACTTATCAACTGTTGAATTTTAGGACTTAGGAAAATTAATTAGTTCATGTAACTTGTGTAGAGGAGGAGTCTTGGCTTGGGTCTCTCATCTGTTAGAAAAGGGAGCAATAAATATCTTGTTTTTTGAGCTTTGGATTGTATCTCCAAGTGATAGCACTCAGCCAGAAAATTTAGCACGTGCTTTATTTGATGGGGAGCTCAGCTGTGGCTCCATATAGCTGTGTGGAAGTGAGAGCTTGCAGAAAATGGGTTGTGGTCTTCTTAAAATTTAATTTATTTATTTATTAACAGGTGGGATATGGCAATAATTTTCTTTTTTTCCCCCCCTCTCTGGGGTGGGGATGAAGCTGGTTGAGCTCACTAAGGTCTTACTGTCTATCCCAAATAGTGGATATGAAAATTAGAAATTTTTATAAGACCTTTCTAATTCTGTACCTGATTGTCCATTAGATTTTAGTGCTGTGTAATTTAGTCTGTTATCTTCTGATGGTTTATAATTTTAGATCTCTACTAAAGCATAGGCATTTTTTTCTTAGATTCTTTTTTTCTTCTTTAGGTATTGGTTTAGGCATTCTCCTATTTTCCTTAGGATTTGTTTGCTCTCTTTGTGGACACTCTGTTGTCTTCAGTTCAGATAAGCTGACTACATTCTATTTCTGCAATATTTTCTGAAAAGTTACTTGTTTTCAGAGTATTTTCATATTTAAATGGCAAAGGATCTGCTGATAAACTAACAAATAGGAGTGAAGTGGGATGTGGAGTGGAGTGGCAAATCTTGAATCATATCCCCAGCTGAAAGTCACCTTAGGGATTAGCTGAATAAAAACTCTAGCAAAAAGAGGAAAAAAAATGTTTAGTGCATGTTATCTTTTAAAGTAAGACTTACCAACTAATGACCACTGATCAAATTGTTTTCTACAAGTAGTTGTAGAAAGAGTACATAAATGTGGTAAATCCTTGATCAAGTTTGTTCAGTGGGAAGGAAATACCGTGCAGGAGTTGTTTGATGGGGTCCAGCTGTGGGTTCAGGGGGGACCCAGGTCCTGCTGTGTGCCCTGCAGCGCTGTTCTGGAGCCCAGCAATGCTGGGGTTTGTGTGATCTGTCCATGGTAGCTCTGCTGTACTTTGCCATTGCCTGTCCCACTCTCCTGTCTTCCAGGCTTTAAGACATGGTTTGGTTTCACAGTGGGGTGCAAAGTTTCCTTTGAGACGGTGATAAAGCAAAAGAACATTTCTATTCTAGAGGAAACCCTAAAGGAAAGAACTTGGAAAGCTCTCTACAGTCTGCTTTTCAAGTCAACTAGCTCATTTCTGGCTGTGGCCAGTAACAGGAGTGAGCTTGGTACTTGGAAAATGAATGACTGCATTGTGGCTGTATATTTCTGCTGCAGTTTTCCTCCATGCTCTTTAACAACAACTATTTGAGTATTGATCTGCTAGTGCCTAATAGCTTAGAAACACTGTGAATGTGATATGAGGATTAGAAAACTATGCCCCTAAACCCAAAAGCATTGAATACATATATATCCTTCTCCTTGTGATTTAGTTCCAATTGAAATTTATGGTGCTGGTCATGTGAGTAAAATTATAGGATGATGACTCTGAGTGCTTTTATATGTCTGGAAAAGCATGTGGGATACAGGAATGTGATTAAGTGAACTATAATAAATTGCTTACTTTGCGAAATTGGCCACCAATTATTAAGTAGGACTATAGACTGTTTAAACACAGAAAGAAAGCTGGATAGGGTTCAAAGTACACAAAAATGCTTTGTTTTGCTTAGCTGATCAATGGAAAAGAACAACTCTGTGTGGTTTTGCTTTACATAAAAAAAAAATCAACCCTTACCATAAATTGTTAGGCATGGGGATTTTTTTGTGTCAGTCAAAATAATTTTTCAACAGAGCATGAAAATGGAAGACTGAGAATCTGAATGGTTCTGCTTTAGAATCACACTGAAAGTTTTTTATTTTATGTAAATAGAGATTGATGGAACATTTTACACAGAGTGCAGGTTTTTGACAAAAAGTATTGATGGTTGCTTTCAGTAAGTGTTACTGGAGATGACAGAACATTGCATTTTAAGATGAATTACAGTAGAAACTCCCTCTTTGGGAATGTCATACATTTTATTTCATCTGTTGTTTTGAGAAGGAATGACTAAAGTCATAAATACCACAGACTGATCTCTCTTTCCTTAACATCTTATAGATCTTGCATTATTTTGCAGTGCTTAGTAGAAGTATATTAAAAATAATTAGGAAACTGCTTGGATTTTGTTAAGATCTACTTACTGTACTTTGTGGGTTTTTAAGTGTCAACTTGTTTTGATGCTAATCCTTAAGGAATAGCCCTTTGATTTTTATATTGGCTTATATTTAAACCATCAGAAAACCAAAATCCTTTGTCTGATGCATTTGGAGGCAAATTAAATTCAGAGGTCTAGTTTGAGTGATATGAGACTTCTTTTTTCAAAGTCAAGTTGATCAACTTTATGGCACCCAATGTTAAATTCCCAATTAACACTTCCAAAAATACTGCAATGTCTATAAACAGAAGAGAAGTTTTCAAAATGTTTTGTCCTACTACTGTGCATAGTTTTGCAGAAATCTCTCTTGAAGTGATAACAGAAAACCAGACACCTGGAATGGCTGAATTCCTAGAAATGAAGTGGGATTTGGATAGTGCAATGAGATGATTTAGGTCAATGGGAATTGTAAGCGGTGCTTACTGGAAGATCAATTCTGTTATGTTATAAATGTACATTTGCATTTTGTATTTTAAATATTTTTAAATTGTCCTGTGGTTAAATTAGTTTTAGCTTACACAAGAGATGTAGCCTCAGCATTGTTTATGATTGTTGCTTTGATATTCTGTGGAATTTGCCCTCCCACCCCCTACAATTCCTTAAAAGGACAGAAGGGAGGTTTGAGAAAACATTGTGCACTTGTGAGTGGCAGTATTAAGGAAATTTCAAGGGAGGACACAATGCGAACTTGGACTCTGTGAATTTCATAGCTGATAATGACAGCTTGAAAAGAAAGACTAGATGTCTTCCTGGAAGAGTGATAGGTTTAGCATAGATCAGCTTCTGGGTGTATTTTTCAAGCCTTTTAAAGAATGTTCTCTTTTCTGAACAATAAAAGAGTGATAGTGACATTTTAATGATGAATTTATGTGTAAAAGGGAATATAGCCAAAAGGGTACTGTCACCCTAAAGAAAAAAAACCAAAAAAACCAAAAAACCTTGTGAAGAGAAGGCTTGTGCTTTAGAAAGGAGTATGGAGAAAGTGACAAATCAAGTATCAACAGTAAAACTGAAGTCTGAGATTGCCTCATTTCTATGTTAGCATTCTAATACCACTTCTCACTGCTTACTGAAAACCAGCTATTTCTTGCCTGCAACTGGGTTATCTTCTGAGAAGAGGGTTGGATTTTTCTTTATTACTTCTATACTCTTGAAAATGATTCCTTGGGAAAGAAAGTTATCTTGGTTTATCATTCTTCCCACAATGAATATTTCTTATTGCTGCTTTGATGGAAAAACATTACTATTTTTTTTCTTTAAGTGTAATAATTTTCCCTGTTCTTACAATATAATATTGCCCCAAATTATTTTGAAACCTAGATAGATATGGATCTATTTCATATATTGATTCTGTTCTTTCACCGCTTAATGGCTTCTTTTAACAATATTATGGTCTTCTGGCTTGCATCCATGCTCTAAGCTAAACTGAGGAACATGCCATTGAACTGTGGCTATTCAGTTGTTTAACAGACTAACCCCCTCCCTTCTGCCAAATCCCCTGTGGTGTTCCATATTGGAATGGTGAACACCAGTCAGGTTATTATTAGATAACAAGCCATAGATATCTTCTCAGCTATTGAGGAACTGGTTAAATATGCATAAAGTTCATTGTGGAATTTATGTTTAACAGTGGACTAAAGCTTGTCACTCGGTGTTTTGCCATATTCAAAAGCTTCTCCTCTTGTTTAGTTTATAGATCCTCAATTGACTTCTTGATAGCCTTATTTTCCCTGCATGTTGATGGCCTGAGAGAGAATTTATGGAAACTTCTCCCTGACTGCTTTGCTCAATGCAGGCACACAGAGTGTGGTGATTGGGGTGGGGCTGGCCCAGCCTCATCCCCATGGCACAGCTGTGAGCAGCAGGTGAGCAGCAGTGACAGCAATGAGCCAGGGAGTGCCCAGGGCACTGACCAGCACCAAAGGGAGCAGAGGCTCACAGGGGCACTGCATGAACAATCAGGGGTATGAAAGGCTGGGCTGAAGGACAAGAGGAGCAGACGACTGAAGCCTTCTGATGGGGTAAG